GGGATGTACATGGGATATGCTTAAGGAGCTGATCCGCGAGAAGTACTACCCAACCTACTACAGAGCAGAGATGGAGCGTCAGTTTCTGTCGCTCAAGCAGGGTACTCGATCTGTAGACGAGTACGAAAGAGAATTTACCAGACTTGCAGCTTTTGTTCCGGACCTGGTTCGTATGGAGGCACAGAGGGCACAATGCTTCATTGACGAGCTTTACCCAACAGTCCGTCACAACATTGTAGGTCACGGGACCCAGACGTATGCACGTGCTGTTTCGATTGCCCAGGAGGTGGATGCCAGCATTCGAATGGAGGCGAACCATGATCGATTGCAGCCAGTTGCCCCTGCCCAGTCTTCTACAGCTCCACCGATGCCACCAGCCACTGCCCAGCCACCGAAGAACAACAAGAGGAAGGGGAAAGGCGCCTCGATGGACAAGTGGACCCGGCGGAGGCTACAACAGGTTCCACAGTGCCTGACTTGCGGACGACTTCACCGCGGCGAGTGTCGATTGGGTCAGGATATATGCTATTACTGTCACGAGCCCGGACACTTTGCTAACCGTTGTTCGAAGAAGGCCCAGCAGCAGCCCCAGCAGCTTCATCAGCCACAGCAGCAGCAGCCCCGTCAGCAGGCTCAGAGGCCACCACAGCAGCAGCATCAGAGGGGCAGACAGTAGGCTCGTGTATACGCTGTCGATCAGATCGAGGCCGAGCAGCAGCCAGGTACTATGTCAGGGATGATCATGCCTAATAATGTTACTGTGTTCGCTTTATTCGATACTGGAGCGACGCACTCCTTTATTTCACGACGATGCCTTGATGCCATCGGAGTTCATGCCATTACCGCTGTCGATCCTCTCGAGGTGAGTCTTGCTTCGGGACGAAAGATAGTGACCTCAGCTAGAGCTTCAGATCTCAGCCTTTCCATTGGTGGTCGTTCATTGTCTGCCGACGCGTATGTTCTTGAGATGAGGGACTTTGACCTCATTCTCGGGATGGATTGGCTAGCCTTTTATCATGCAAATATCCGATGTCATGACCGAGAGATTACCCTCTATCTTCCAGGAGACGATTCGATTACCTTCTTTGGCAGCAAGAATCGTTGATTACCTCATGTCGTTTCGATGGCGAAAGCTACCAAGTTGTTGCAACGAGGCAACTGCCAGGGTTATCTGGTGAGCCTTGTCGATGATTCTCAGAAAGCACGATCACCTCACGATGTTCCAGTTGTTCGTGAGTTTGTGGACGTGTTTCCAGACGAGCTTCCAGGAGGACCACCTAACCGACAGGTGGAGTTCTCTATTGACCTTATCCCAGGAGCCGACCCCGTATCCAAAGCCCCGTACAGTATGGCGCCGAAGGAGTTGCAGGAGCATAAGGCGCAGATTCAGGAGCTTTTACGACTCAGTTTCATCTGACCGAGCGTGTCACCTTGGGGAGCACCCGTTCTCTTTGTCAAGAAGAAGGACGGATCCATGCGCATGTGTATCGACTACTGGGATCTTAACCGGTTGACGATCAAGAACAAGTATCTGCTTCCCAGGATCGACGACTTATTTGATCAGTTGAGGGGAGCCTGTGTATTTTCAAAGATTGATTTACGATCAGGCTACCACCAGCTGAAGATTAAATAGTCAGATATCGCTAAGACCACTTTCAGGACTCGTTACGGCCATTACGAGTTTGTTGTTATGCCATTCGGCCTCAGTAATGCTCCAGCGGTTTTCATGGACCTGATGAACCGTATTTTCGATCCCTACCTCGATCAGTTTGTTATTGTCTTTATTGACGATATTCTTATCTACTCGAAGAGCCAGAAGGAGCATAAGGAGCATCTGAGGGTGGTTCTCGAAACCCTCAGACGAGAAAAGTTGTATGCCAAATTCTCCAAATACGAGTTTTGGCTCCAGCGAGTATCTTTTCTGGGTCATGTGATTACTCAGGCAGGTATCGAGGTGGATCCTTCTAAGGTCTCAGCTGTTCAGAACTGGTTGACACCGAAGAGTCCGTCTGAGGTTCACAGTTTTCTCGGTCTAGCTGGCTACTATCGCAGGTTCATCGAGGGCTTTTCTAAGATTGCCCTCCCACTATCCCAGCTGACAAGGAATTCTGTGAAATTCGAGTGGACTGATCGTTGTAAGGCGAGCTTTCAGGAGCTCAAGAGAAGATTAACTTCAGCCCCGGTGTTGACTATTCCCGATCCTTCTCGGAGTTTCACCATTTTCAGTGATGCTTCGAAGCAGGGACTGG